TGTTATATAACACATATATTATAATATAATCTAAAATTTTGTTCCAAAGAAAACTTGACCGTTACAGTATAGTATTGTATTATAGATGATGATTGTTATAGAAAGGCTTAACCTTACCAAAAAGATTATTAGATGCTATGAATTTGTTGTTACTCCCACCGATAATATGAAGTAGCACACAGACAAACTTGAGAACAAGAAGAAAGAACAATATTGGAATCTTGGAAATTGAATGGAAATGCTTTTGGATTTCTTTGCTTTGCGTGAAAGTTTCTTAAGACTTAAGTTAACCAACAAATTCCTTCATCTCTGCCTTCGTTCTTTCTCATTATAACACCCCATTCAAGCCATTATTTTGGCCATTCATCAATTGCATAAATCACAATAACAACAACAATAATAAATCCAGTGGATTTAATAAAAATTATGGCTGATGAAGAACAGAGAAAACCAACGACACGAAGAACACCTCTTAGCCAAATAGATGAGGTACTTTCTTTTATATTTTGTTGAAAATTTCTTGTTGGCATGATTTTGTTCTCTCTTTCTTTAATTTTCTTTTCTTAAATACCTTCTTTTTTTTAATTTTTTTTTTTGTGGGGATTCTAATTGTTTGATAATATTAATTTGCATGGCTATGCATGTGTATATTCAGGATAGAGTTTGTATTATGTTATCGATGATTGAAAGTGAAAGTGAAGACGAGGAAATCACTGCCTCTGATGAAGAATTTTTAGAAAGTGAGATTCAAGGTAATTTACGTACTTATTTCATTTGGAGAAATGATTCAAGAAATGGCATATAACTCAGCTATGTACTTTGTTTCATTTGCTCGTTTTCACGTGAACATAAAAAGTTTTTATTTGTTGTCGTTGAAAATTGGCACAATAAAAACTTTTGAAGGCAAAAGAATAGGCTAAAAACATACAAATAACAAAAGTTTATCAAAATTCAGATGACAGATGAAAAGTCAAAACACTAATATCTTAAAACATAAAAAACTCAAAGTATAAGTCGAAGAAGCACCAGGGATAAAAGTCAAAACTATCTACAAAATCACAGTTTTTGATGATTCAAAATTTCAATCTAATCTTATATATTCCAGTTTCTATACCATAAATATTTATAGTTCTTTGTTTTCCTTTGGTTATTTTCTGTTTGCAGATTTCGAATTAGAGTTTTACGACGAAGAGTACGATGATGACAACGAGGTGTCTCTCTAGCACACACTAAAATTCATATATTTAATTTATATATATATATATTTAAAGCATAGTGAATTTTCTCCTTTTGTAGGATATGGAAGAAGATGATATTGATCCAGATGAATTATCCTACGAGGTATAAAAAATGGAGTACTCGTTATTTATTTATGTATAGCTCAAGAAATACATGACATTTACTAAAAAGTATATATATATATA